TCTCCCCACACCCCCGCCAGCATTTGTTATTGGTTGATTTCTTGATAGCAGCCATTCTTTCTGAGGTGAGGTGGAATCTCAGTGTTGTTTTCATCTACAGCAAGACTTTGGCTTAACAAGACCCTCAAATGAGGAGCACGGGCAGACCTCCAAGAGGCCCCACCCTGGGCATGAAGTGAGATTGTTCTCCATCACCCCACCCCAGGCTTCTTGAAGTCAAATGAGCATAAGCACAAGCCAGGAGGTCAGTAAATCTACTTTTGAATCCTGGCTCCAGACCACCTGTGTGTCCTTGAGAAATTTGCTTAATGTTGCTAAGCCTTATTGGCTCCATCTGTAAAATGGGGCTGTAATGAGCATCTCATGCAATAACAAATGTGACTCGGTCAGTTGCTTGGCTGGGAAGTGTGAGCTGCCGAATAGAGGTTCAGTCACTGCCAGTCTCCTTCTCAGCCCCTGGGGGCCTCAGCCCAGTCCTCTCATCCTCCCTTCTGAAGCCCTGCCCGGTGCTGAGGCCAGGGCAGTGTGTGCCGGTCAGGTTGGGCCCGCTCTGCAGCCTCAAGGCTGGGCAGGCCCAGGTAGCCATCCCTGTCGAACATGCACTGTCTCTCTCAGGGCCCTGGTTTGCTTTCCTGCAAAATGCCACTGATGCTCTAACTTGCAGGTGGCACAGGGGTTAGAGAAAGAATGTTTGTGAAGGTGTCTATAAAGGGTATAATGCACAGTAGGCCCTCAATAAATAGGCTTTATTATGATGATAGCTTCCGAAGCCCAGGTGGTGCTCTGAAATATGTCCGAGGACGACGGGATGAGTCATAGCATCTCAACCAGGCAACCTCAACAAAGACCTTGGGGTGAGGAGGCAGAAGGCAGGATGGGGAGGGGTGCGTTAAAAGTGAAGATTAAAACCCAGACAAGATTGCAGCCCACAACTTATCAAAGAGTTGGACATGCCAGAGGCCAGGAGTAAGAGGGTGGGAGAGCCTGTTCTTGCCCCGCATGGGGATGGAAGCAGGCCAAGTAGGGTGGGGGTGAGGGACGAATAGCCTCTTTATTAACACAATGATTTTATTTGCCGAGAGGTAATCATCCTAAGTGAGGTCAATGTGGCTGGCACAGGACAGGCCCTGCAGGCGGCTGGCCCACATTGCCATGGCAACGGGGGCCGATCACTTCCAGCTGCTGTGAAGGCTGGAGGCTCCTGAAGAAGGAGCCCCCCCCCCCAGTCACTTTTCCTCCCTCAGAGACTGGCAGGCATTTGAATTCCCCCTCCCACCCCAAGACACAGGCCAAGAGCCTCCACAGAGCATGCTAGCCAGGTTCACAGGGGACCATCTTCCTGGGGGAGAAGGGTCTCCACGGCTGTCATCTCATTTCACCCCACGGTGGCCCTGGGAAGAGGGGACTAAGCAGTGCCTGATCACTGCACAGAAAGCTGCGGCTCAGAGGGGCTGAGAAGGCACCAACCTGGTAGTCAAGCCTGGGTTTGAGACCCAACTCTCTCTCTTATATACTATCCTCAGCAGTTTGCTCTGAGCCTCAGTTTACCAAATACATTCTGCACCCATGATTGGCCAGTGTCTGTGAGATACAGTCCTGACCAAGATGTGTTTTCCCATCTGTAACCTGGGCCAACACAGCCCTGCCCTGGGGACCCAGGACTTCAGTGGATCGCAGAGTGTCAGTCATGCTGAGAAGGGACAAAACAGGGCTTGTCCCCAAATCCTCCAGCCCTTAAGTCTAAGAAGGGAGGACCCTACGTTGGAGGGCCAAGAGACAGTCCAGCAAATGTGGAACAAGGAAGAACCCAGCCAATCCTGGGTCCATTTTGTCCGTACCCACGGTGTCTAGCGCCCTCTGGTGGACAGTGACACATCATAACCAGAAGGGAGTCGCACGGGGTAGAGGAGGGAATGGCAGGTGCAACTGGGAAAATCAGGCGAGATTTTGGAGGCTGGGCCTCTCAGAATGAAGGTGTGAGGGCTGGGGATTTAGCTCAGTGATTCCGCCGCGAGGAGGGAGGAGGGAGGAGGGAGGTGGGGGAGGAGGAGGAAGAAGAAAGATATGCATGGGAATGGGAGGGAACCACCACCTTCTGGTGCATTGTTATTAATCATAGCAATGCTCTGGCCTAGAAGGACACTTCAGACTTGACACAGTTAAGAACAGCCCAAGACCCCAGAGTTCTTCATACCGGAAGCAGGGAGAGAAATTGAGGCCTCAGAGGAGACACCAGCCTCTGGCCAGGTGCCTTGGGGGACATTCTGGAGACCCCTGGAGGCTCCTCTCCCCACAGTCTCCTGACACCCCCACACAGCTGTCCACCCCTACACTTGTTCTGAGCGGTCTGGGGCATCGAGGCACCAGGATGAACATCTAACTTCCCATTTCACTTTCATCAGCCTTGCCTGAGGCTGCCAGTCTGCATCCTCATCCTGTGGGGGGGGGGGGCGGCTGCTTATGTAGAACAGTGCCCATGCACAGAACAGGCAGATCCCACTTTGCCTTGGGGGATCCCAAGGGAGAGCCTGGCAGTCAGGAGAACTTCTGAGGCCAGGGCGGGTGGTGGTGGGAGAGACCTTGGTGGTCCCTCCCTCTCTGCAGCTAGCCATGCAGAGACCCCTCCTGGAGGGACTCCTACAGGATGACAGTGACAGCAGGTGTGAGGAAGTCTTCCAGGACAAAGAAGAGACAAAATTTGAGCTAGGGTGAGAAACAGAGAGAAGGAGAAATGGTTCTGGTTTCACAGCAGGACTTGGCAGCAGTGCCTGGCAGCGGTGCCCAGGGTGCTGGCCACACTCCAGCCAGGCAATGAGCTCGGCTCTGGCCTAAACTTTAATCAACGATCGCAGGCTTGTTACAGTCAGTAGCATGGAAGATCAGAAAAGGCTTGATCCCCAGGAGGGGGCTGGGAGTGAGGCCCCAGCCAAGGAGGGTGTACATGAGATCTATAGCAAGTCAAAGTAGGGGGGCTTTAGCACCCCTTCCCATGGGGCCTAAAATGGGGAGAGGAAGCAGGAGACAGGCTGAGCTATTTCAACAGCAAGGGAACAAATCTTGCCCATGAAGTTTCAGAAAAGCCCTCCAGCTCAGCCTCCGATCCTCTCTCTGGTCTCAACAATGCTCAAGTGAGATGCCAAGAACTACCAGCCAGTGGGACCCAGGATGTCTGACCCAGGGCAGCTCAAGGTGGTCACCCCATCCTTAGCTGAAGAGAGGGATCTCAGCATAAGAACTGCAGCACCCCAATCTCCCCTTTAGGCCCAGCTGTCCTGAAGGAGGAACTGAATGGGACACATTCTCACTCCCCAAGTGCTCAGGAGAGAGGGTGGGAAGAAGCAGGCTGCAAACCAGTTTGCCTGCTCCATATAACTTATTAGCACCCAGGCGAGATTAATCAAGCCCAGAAACCTCGAGCAGACCCCTAATTAGTTGCTGCTGATAACTATATTTGTCATGCTCTCCAATTATTCCACTGTAAATTTCAGAGTTTAATTGCACCTTGTTCTTCATTGAAGTGTCACTGTTTGCACACGCTCCCCTAATTCTTTAGCAAATTTGACAAAATTCTGCATTAAATATAGATTATCTTTAGATTTCCATAATTAACACAACCAAACTGTCTGAGGCCTAAATATTTCTCCCAGTGCCATAAATCGGGCCTGTCCCTGGAACCCAGAGAAACATTTCCAACTTCCCGGCAGAGGCTGCAGGGAAAACAGGCACGCACGTCTGTGAATTCATATGCCACACCTGTGCAGGGCTCAGCCGGGAGGTGGAGCAGGGCTTCATTGAGGGCCCACACCTGGGGATGCTCGCCATGCCCCAGATTCATAGGAGGCCCCGTCAAGTCCCAGTCCTGAGGTCCGGGGCATCTCAGCAGTGTCCCTGGGCTCCGAAAGCCAATCCAGCACACAGCAGAGCTCTGGCCCTTGCAGCGGGGCTAGAACTGAGTGGGTCAGCCTCCAGCCAGGCCACAAGCGTCTCCATCCCATGAAGACCACAGGTCCCTGTTTGTGACTTTTTCTCAATAAGGCTGACCTCGATGTTCGGTATCACCTCAGGAACATGACCTTTGCAGGCTCCAGCACCCGCTGCACTGTCCCGTTCCAGGGCACCCTCACTGCCCAGCCTTCTCAGCCCACTCTCCAGGCTTACTGGTCAGTATGCATCCACCCAACTCTAAACACACCACCTGGAGCTCTCTAGTTCGGGTTAGGAGCAGAGCAGGAACCCATGCCCTCTCCTCTTCAGGTCTGGAAACTTTCCCCCAGCCCCCCTAACTCAAATCTAATACCCCAACAAAGCTCACACGGCGTCCACTTCCAGGATGGCATAGGAACAAGGGCAAGTGGGAAGGGGCAGAGAAGCCCGAGTGCCCTTCAGAGCACCACCCAGCCCTTCGCTCATCCCAAGGGAAGCCCCCTTCCCCAGGCTGTCTCAGGGACAGAGTTTGATGTTAGCCAAGCCCTCTCCCCTGCACTCACACATATGTACACACACATGCACGTGCGGGCATACACAGAGTTGCAGGGACACACCACCGACACTGACACTCACAGACAAAGAGGCCACACAAACATACACACAGAGAGATGGATATACACAGAAACACACACCTCTGCCCAAGCCCTGCAGGAAGTCAGGGACAGTCAAACTCCCAAGAGATCCTCCGCATACCCAGGTCTTGCTGCACCAGAAGCTGAGGTGCACTGGGAGGGCACCAGTACCACCTGCCAGCCCTGGCATGCCTCTGTTCCCCCACAAAAGTTGCATTGATAGTTGAGGGGTTGGAGGTGAGCACGGACAGGAAACTAAGGAGCCTCAAAGTGTACTCAGAGCAAATTTGGAAGAAAATCAATGGCCTTTAATGAGATTTTGATTTTTTGCCATGATGGGCTAGGGTGATGTGGGAGATCTCCGGGTGCAATGTGCAAGGAAATGAACAGGGCATAGGGTGCAGAGCCAGAAGGGCCTGGGGAGCAAGGAACCTCCCAGGTCAGCAGGTGCAGAGACAAGGGCAAGTGCACAGCTGGCTTGGGGGGGCTACAGTAGTCTGCATCCTGGAGTCTGGACTCCCGGCCCTCAGAAGGAAACAGAGGGGCTAAGACTCCCAAGATTGAGGGCTTGTCAGGGACCAAGAGCAGAAGAAATTGGTCAACAGCGTATAGGGGTGTGTGGCCTTGCAGTGCCCCTGGCTTCCAAAATGAGGAGAGGCAATTTTCAGAGTTAATTCTGATCAGTTTG